GCATACCAATGTTTATAGCAGCACTATCAACAATAGCCAAATTATGGAAAGAGCCCAAATGTCTATCAACTAATGAATGGATAAAGATGTGGTATGTATATACACTGGAATATTACGTGGCCCTCAAAAAGAATGAAATCTTGCCATTTGCAACATTGTGAATGGAACCAGAATATATTATGCTAAGCGAAATAAGTCAGAGAAAGACAAATACCATATGATTTCACTCATATGTGGAATTTAAGAAAGAAAACAGATGAACATAGGGGAAGGGAAGCAAAAATAAGATAAAAACAGAGAGGGAGGCAAGCCATAAGAGACTCAACCACAGAGAACAAACTGAAGATTGCTGGAGGGGAGGTGAGTGGGGGAATGGATGGGCTAGATAGGTGATGGGCATTAAGGAAGACACTTGTTGGGATGAGCACTGGGTGTTATATTTAAATGATGAATCACTGGGTTCTACTCCTGAAGCCAGTACTACACTGTATGTTAACTAACTTGAATTTAAATTAAAAAGAAAAAAAAGGTAGTTGATAATTAAAATTGTGATCTAGAATTACTTGAAACATAACAAAAAAAAAAAAAAAAAAAAAAAAAAAAAAAAAAAAAAAAAAAAAAAAAAGAACAGACCAAGAACAAGACCTTAATAAATACTTACAGTAATAATAATACAAGAAGAATAGCCAAGATGTGAATCAAAGAAAGAGCTTATTGGCATATGAAAGAATCTATAAAAGTATACTGTCATGAGAACCAGAGGATAGATTATGACTTCCTGTAATGGCCTTTCCTACCTCTGTGCTTAATCAAAATCATACCCATCCTTTAAGGCCTGCTTAATTCCCATGTCCATGGCAGTTAATTGCTTTTTAATCATTTTTATGGTATGACCTATTTTCCATACAGCAGTCTTTCCTCAGCTAAATGTGTAACTTCTAGAGAATGAGAACTAGATGACAGACATTTCTGTATTTCCCCATAGTACCTAGCACAGTTCTAGGCATATATCTCTATCTTCTATATCTATCTTCCTGTATCTGTCTATCTATCTATCTATCTATCTATCTATCTATCTATCTATGTAGAGAGATAAATCTGTTGAATAGATGACTTTAGAAATAATGTAGGTGGGGCACCTGGGTGGCTTAGTCAGTTAAGCATCCGACTTCAGCTCAGGTCATAATCTCACTGTTTGTGAGTTTGAGCCCCATGACTAGCTCTGTGCTGACAGCTCAGAGCTTGGAGCCTGCTTCGGATTCTGTGTCTCCCTCTCTCTCTGCCCCTCCCCTGCTCTGTGTCTCTCTTTCTCAAAAATAAATAAACACTTAAATTTTTTTTTAAAAAAACAGAAAGAAAGAAAGAAAGAGAAAAGGAAAGAAAGAAAGAAAGAGAAAGAAAGAAAAGGAAAGAAAGAAAGAAAAAGAAAGAAAGAAAAGAAAAGAAAAGGAAAGAAAGAATGTGGGCATTTGGGGGCACCTGGCTGGCTTCGTCAGTGGAGCATGCTGAGCTCAGTATCATGAGTTTGAGCCCCGCGGTAAAGATTACTTTGAATGTGTGAATGAGTGAATGAATGAGTGAATGAATGAATGAATGAGGGAGGGAAAGGAAGGGAAGCAAAGGGTCACATTTCCCAGGAATTCAGGGCCCAAAACTAAAACAACAGTCTACTAAGGGTGTTGTGTGTGGTACACGAATATTCATACTGCAAGGCCCTCTTCCATAGCCAGAACTTAATAGCAGATCTGGGGGAGCCTTTGTGGCTCAGTCGGTTAAGTGTCTGCCTTCAGCTCAGGTCATGATCTCACAGTTCGTGGGTTCGAGCCCCACGTCAGGCCCTCTGCTGTCCACCCAGAGCCTACTTCAGATCCTCTGTCCCCCTCACTCTCTGCCTTTCCCCCACTTGTGCTCTCTCTCTCTCAAAAATAAGTAAGTAAAAACTTTAAAATAGCAGATCTGAAAGATTCCAAGGCCATCTTGAACCTAAAAGTCTAAATAGGGGTTTTCATAATTACAAAAATCATCTCATAGAGATTTCTTTCTTAACTGTCAGTTTTTAAGTTTACATGTTAACACTATCTTTTGGCCATCACTTTCTCATCATCTCATGGTATTTTGACTATGAGATCACACACACACACACCTACCTGCTTCTCCATATTCACTCTAGTGTAGACTCCTTGATGGATACTTATTGATCTCAGTGCTCCATGAAATAAAATAGCCTGAAGTAAATACACCTACACATGTATGTCAACTTCAAAGAATAAGTAATTGTTATTATGTGTATTATAAGTATTGTTGGATTAGAGGGTGGGTAGAAAAGGAAGTGGAAGAGTAAGTAGGTTGAGGTTTGGAAATGAATGATGTGGTGATAAGTAGGTGACATGAGAGGGTGACAAGGGAAAGCTAGAGAATGAATAATGAGATACTGGTTAAACCCAAATGAATTCAATTATTTATATAAATGGTAGCAACTAGTTTAGAGAACCAAAAAGAATAAATCATCTTTAAGTTTCTCTCATTTTGACTTTGGAAATATACCTTATTATCTTTTCAGCAAATTAACCAAATTAATTATTTTGCCTAAGTTTATATTAAAATTAATGTACATTTTTATATTGTGTGTTAGAGTAGATGGTTACAGTTTTTCAAATGACTGGCAAAAGATAAATAAACTTGGTAATTCCTATATATACAATTGAGATTAAACACTATAATTAAATTTATTTTTCTGTGTAGTTGATTCCTAATTATCCATGGGCAGGTTGTTCATATTCTAGAATTTCATGGATAGCCTTATATTTCACTTAAATAGACAAAAGAACTCAGTATGGTAACTTTTTCTATGAAAAATGTATTCTTTGAGTCTTATTTGGTAAACTCAAAGATTTAGTTTTATTTTAGAAAATACTTAATTCATATTTTTAAATAATGGTTGGTTTTCATTTTTTAACTACTTTGATATCATTTATTAAGCACTGCATCATACTTTGCTTTTTTTTGTTTGCCAATTCATTTGAAATAGATGCTTATGAAATCATTTGAGAGGTGAAAGATCTCCAGTTAGCTGGCAAATTATATTTGGAAATAATCTTTCACTTGATTTAGGACAATAATCATGATGTCAAATAATAATTATTAACTAGAATAACAAGCTCATTCTGAAATATTTTCATTTGTAAACAATGTAATTATTTTACCCAAACATGCAAATCAAAGTTAAAACTGTTTGCCCTGAATGTGAAATATCTTTTAATAGATAAGAATTAAATGCTTTTTTACCTGTTAGCATAAGAAGCTTTTTAAATATTTAAAATTCATCTTTTCATTCCTTTTCTTTTTCTTTTTCTTCCTCTTTCCCTTTCTCTTTCTCTTTCCCTTTCTCTTTCTCTTTCTCTTTCTCTTTTTCTTTTTCTTTTGAGTGAGAGAGAGAGCAGGAGAGGGGCAGAGGGAGAAAGAGAGGATTTTAAGCCTGCTCCATACTGAGCGCAGAGCCCAATACAGGGGCTGGATCCCATGACCCTGGGACCATGACCTGAGCTGAAATTAAGAGTGGGATGCTCAACCACCTAAGCCACTCAGTTGCCGCAATGCATCATTTCATTTTCATATTTTCTTTTTTGCTTTATTCAAACTGGAAGCAAAAGACATGCTTTCTTTTTATCATTTTAAAAGGACTTCTGGAGTGCCTGGCTGGCTCAGTAGATGGAACATATGACTCTCCAGCTTGTGAGTTGGATATAGAGATTACTTAAAAATAAAATCTTCAAAAAATAAAAATAAATAAAAGGACTTCTCAATTGTTAAACTCTGTGATCTGATGAAAACTTTATTTGATAAGCACTTCTATAAAACTAAATCACCTCACTAGTGTATGAATCAGTCTTTAAAATCTTTAAATTTTATAAATGATTCTTACTGAATCATGAAATTTGTAATTATTATGAAGGAATGACAAAGGAATGATTTTTGACAGCCAGTAGATCTTCAGCTGCTCAGGATTCGTTCTTTTGCTGACTATTTTAAGACGGAATGTCCTGCTGAATCCTTTTTAATTTTAGAGGTATTGAAGTAAAATTTAGTATATATTAAAATTATATGCAGTTACATTTTCTTTGAGCTTTGTTTTACTAAATTAAATACTTTAAGAGGTGTGTGTGTGTGTGTGTTTTCTTTGACGTTCCCACTGTTGCCTTTCAAGATAAGCACAGTGATGGAGAGAAGACTGCCTGCCTGCACTAAGCAGTGTAGCTCAGTTAGCATACATTGTACTACTCAAAAGCTGGGTCTTGGGCTAGGTATAAGGGGAGAATTTGCTTCGTCTGGAATATAGCTACAAATGTTCAGAGGATGTTACTAGAATATTTAAGTAAATGTAGCTTCTATGAAATAGATGTTCACAGCCTCAAGCCCTAATGAAAAGTAATGAAGACATTTACAGGTAGCTCTTCAGCCATTAGCTGGGCTATTTGGAAAGAAGCTGTCGGCACATAACCGTCATCATTGCTTGCCAATTCATTCACCTTTTTATTTTTAGGTTACACTAATTTGTCCTCTAATTTCTTATGCTCCCTCTTCCAACCCTAGTCTTTCAATAAAATTTGTTTTGTTGTACTACTGATTATAACCACCCTCATAGACTCCCTGGGACAAGGCCATTTGCTTCTATCATTTTTCCTCCTCTCCCATTTGAATGAGCAAAGTATCCATGCTTAGCATAGCTCTGTATCAGCCAGCTCTGTTTAACCTTAATATCTGTCCCTGTGCAAGGAGTAAGACCTTCATTCTGAATTTAATGAGATGGGTTTTTCCCCTTTCAGGTTAGCCGTGTGAATGTCAACTTTTTGAAATTACTGTAAATCATCAAAAATTGATGGTTACTTTTTCACTGGTTCGTTTCCTAATCATTTTGCTTAATGAGACGTTTTCATGAGATTTTTAGTTTTATTTTCTAGTGTGTTGTCTTACCTACTTCAAAATAAACTCTTCTGTGTTAGGTATACGCCCTGCAGTTACAGAGGAATGGAAGAGAGGCTCCCTCATGGCAGCACATCACGACTGACCGATCACTCCAGACACAGTAGTTCTCATCGGCTCAATGAACAGTCACGGCATAGCAGCATCAGAGATCTCAGTAGTAATCCTATGACTCACATCACACATGGTACCAGCATGAATCGGGTTATTGAAGAAGATGGAACCAGTGCTTAAATTGTCCTAAGATGGAGAACTTGTGCTGTTTAAAAAGCAGATTTTATTCTTTGCCTTTGCATGACTGATTGCTGTAACTCAACCGTTACCATGCTTTCAGTCAGGTGCAGATTGTGTCCATTGGGAAAGTAAATTTTTGCTTTTTATATTGCATCAACCTTAGAACATCAAGGCATCAAAAATGCTAATAATTATGTCATCACATAAATAATTCTTATTTCTAGGTTATGAAGAGATTATTTGTCTGGTAAGCATTTTTATAAGCCTACTTATTTTATATTTAGAAAAATCCTAAATGTGTGGTGACTGCTTTGTAGCAAACTTTCATATGATATCAACTAGTTGTGAGATAACATTCTGGTAGTTGTATTAATAAAACAAAATTTCAGAATTAAAGAAATTTTCTATGCAAGGTTTATTTCTCAGATGAATAGTTGGACTTTGTAGTTTTCTTTCCACTAAGTGAAAAAGAACTGTGTTTTTAAACTGTAGGAGAATTTGATAAATCAGCAAGGGTATTTTAGCTAATAAGATATAAGATCAACAGAAGAAACTGAATAGTCTATTGAAGGCTCTTTTAAAATTCTATCAAAATAATCTTCATCCAGAGACACACAGGATTAGGATTAGCAATGGAATAAAAACGGAGATGGATCTTTTTTCCCCTGTGATTGTGCTGTCTTTATTACTTTTGTAAATATTACTTTTACTGGCTGTGTTTTTATAACTTAACCATATGCATGGTGGAAAAAGTTTAATTTGTAGCCACCTTTTTCCATGTAGTAGTATTGATTCATAGAGAACTTCATGTTCAGATCTGTTCCGTGGAGGCATGTAATAAGATAAGCATCACACATTATAAGCTTTTTTTTGTGGGAACCACAATTACAAAATGGCAAAATGTTTTCTCTACATTCATTGTTGTATTTTTCTACAGTGAGATGTGATCTTGCCAAAGCCACCAGGCCCCTCCTAACAGTGAGTTGATTGTCTGCATTTGCATTGCCCAGGAGCCACTAGACTACAGCTTTCTGCCCCCACATTCTTATTTTCAGATTCTGGATCATTCTTTCTTTACAGTTGAAATATATATAACTTAAGTCCAAAGTGGTGATTAATTTGAGGTATTTGGAAACCATTGTAACTAAATGAAGCATGATTAGTCTTGCTGTGAAGTATCTTTTAGTCTTACCAATATCAATTCAAAAATGTTTGACATTCTGTTGTGTAATGTTTAAATAATTTACAATAAAACCGTGAACTTTATTAGGCATGAAATTGATCAGAAGGGAAAGAAAAATTCTGGAAAATGGTGGATGTGTTTTATAGTAAAGTGTATTTAAACAAGTGGTCCTCAGCCCTAACTAGACAAGAATCACTTGGGGAACCTCTGATGCCCAACACCTTCCTCTCTTTCAGAGGAGAATTTGTAGGTTTTTTTTTTTTTAAGTTTTCTATGTTTTATTCTAATCTGCAGCCAGACTTCAGGTTGTTTTGAACTAAATTGCCCCCTGATAGTGATCTGATGGCATCATAATGATATCACATGAATATCTAGGCGGACTCAATATTGTGCTTTTATATATCATTACCTGATACGCAATTGTTCTCCACTTTATTTTCCATTATAAAATGTGGAATCTGGGGCCCCACTCCTAAAGTTTCTTATTCAGTAAGTCAAAGGTGGTAGGACTTTAAAACCTGAGTTCTAAAAATATCACACGTAATTCTTAATGCAGGTAATGCAAGAATCATACTTTGAAAAATGTTCTAGACTCTAGAGAGGCTTGGCTTTGCCATATGCCAGTTTTTTACCTTTAACAAGTAAACTGCTCTGAGCCTCAGTTCCCTTGTTTATAAATGAAGATAGAGGAGAAGTACCTACCTCACAAAGTTGTCGAATAGGGATCAAATGAAAAATCATACAAAAGCTCTTTGAAAACTGTAAAGCATTATGAAATATAAAGGATTAAGATTAAGGATTTAAGAGATTTGAGGGCTACTATTGTACATTCCTTGACATGTGTTTAATTTATGTGTACTTTTTTCTCTCTCCTTTAAAACAAAAATACCAAGAAATTAGGTGTTGAAAAAAAGGCTTCATCATGCAAAAAAAGTCCGTTTTCTGATAATAATTTGTATATCATATTTCTTTCAAAGTACATATATCTTATTGTTTATTATTGACTCTTTATAGGACATATTTGAACATTTAGCCCCAAAGTGTTTTTCTTTTTCCTCTGTCTTTATTGTCTTTCTCCTTGGAGCTGGAGTTCATACTCAAGATACGCAGAATTTGAAATTCCCTCATAACTGACAATTAGTAAACCATTTCTCTGAAGGCCAGACTTAGAACAACTCGTTTATACAATAAATCAATAATTCATAAGGCTTTTTTCTGAGAACCTCTCCTGAGAACAGCATGAGAAGACCAAAACAAACATTCAGAAACAAAAATAAGAAGTTAAAATAGAAGGTACCAGTTTGAGCTCAAAGATGTTGTCATCCATCGCCATCTGCATTATATTATCAATTGCCAAAATGTTAATTGATTTTCTTGTGCAAGTAGGCCAAGTGTAGACAGTTAAGTGCACATCCCTATGAAAATCTTAATTTTTGTGCTTCCTGATTTTTATATATTCATTTCTCTTGTTTGTTAAACTCCCTGTTGGCATATATATAAATGCTATATTGATCTTTCATTTACTTTCAGTATCTTAATTTTTCTCCATGAAATTTACTTAATATCATTAGTCCATTGTTTTAAATAACAGTATTTAGTTTAGGTCAGGTTATTTATCAAACTGGTGCTTTAAATTAAGAAATATTTTTAAGAAACTGTTAAAGAACTATAGCAAACCAGCAATTTCAAAGTCTCAGTTCCCTTAAACCAACTTGAACAAGTCGAGACAGCTTTCTTACCATATGTTTAACTTTAATTTGTGTTTTGATTGGCATGTGATAATGTTTAGTATTTTATTTGTTCAGCTGACAACTGCGAAAATAATAGTTTCTCCAAGATGTTAATATATAATCAAGAGCTTTCAAAAAGTACTTTGATTTTAGCAATACTGTGTTTAATTTATTCAATAATTAAAGCAAAAGATCATACTAAGCTCAAAACAATAATTGGTTTGAAAGAACAATTGATTAATAACAACTAGCACAGGGCTAAGTACAGAGTAGGTTTTTCAATAAATATTTACGAATGAACAACTCATGTTATGCAACTCACATTTACCCTTAGTAGTGAGAATCTCACCTCAAAGGAATTTGAAGTATCTAAATTTAAACCGAATGAAATGAAGTCTCTGCTTTACCAGAATAACATGTGGCAAGTAATAAATACATAACTTACACAAGAAATATTTACATAAGCTTGTACCAAAACTTGATATTAATTTTAAAAGGTGAACTACAATTCTTAGAAGTATTTAAGCTCTTGTTGCTTTATGTGAAATTAAATCTTTGTATACTAGTTGGGTAAACAAATATTCAAGTAAACCTTTATTAGTAGTGATTTTCTTTTTCTGCTGCTTTTTAGAGCAAATGTATGAAAATTCTAAAAATCTTTTTAAATTAGAAAAATTTCCTACATTTTAGCCTACCTCATTAGTTTCTTTGTGATGAGAGCTGGATATAAATGATACCTATCTTAGTTGAGGCTATATCCCTGTGATATAAAAGGAACTACTTAAAATGTTTTTAGAAAATGGTGGCCAGAGCTTAGAAAACAGTAACAGACCAAAATTTCATTATGATGATATTTGTACTGCTTTTGACATGCCAAAGGTATATTCCTGTATTATCACTTGGATGATTTTCATCATCTAGTGCAGTGAAAATCCCTTTAGGCTTGGAATTCAGAGACCCATAATTATGATGTGAACAGGACAGGTCATTTAGTCTCAATTTCTTCAGTGTAAAATGAGGATAAGTTAATTGTTGAGCCCCAAACCTACCTCACTGGACTTTGGTTGTAAGGAACAAATGAGATAACATGTATTATCATGCTCTCTAACCTATAAATTGCTCTGATATTATTTGTTTTTGTTAGAATTTGGGGGTTGTAGAAAACAAGGATATGGTCTTCAGTAGTATTTAGCAACAACAACAAAATAGGCAATTAGACCAGTACAATCTTGATACAATTTGGTACAATCTTTAAATCAACAATCCAATTAACTTTTTGAAAATGAGGTTCTTTTTCAAGAGTAGGTATGTCCTGAAACTGTGCTAGCTCTTGAGTATATATATAGCCAGTGTGTGCTCTCAAATTGTATACAATTAAATTTGCAGGTCAATCTCAACAGCAAGTTTGAGATCTCCATTATATTATTCTTTTGATGGAATTATGTAAGTACATGAGCTTGACTTCACTGAAACTTGTAAGAAAAATACAAAGAAGAGTGTAGGCCCTTTAACTTTTCTTTGAGGACTTTCATGTGCCTATTTCTTTCTGATTAAGAACAAGTTTTAAAAAGGTAATAGCTGTAACTTGCTGATATTCATCATGGCAAAACTTGAAATTTTAAGTTATTTAAAATTATCTTAATTGTATGTTTGTATATATAATTTTTTAAACCTACATAAAGTAAGGATTTCTCCATTCTTTTCTGCACATCAACACACAAAAGAGCATTTTTATGGAACCTAGATTTACAAAGGAACTCATGCTTCTTTTAATTTCTTTTATACCTTTTTACAACTGACTAAAATAAGAAAAAGTGTTTATATTCATTTATTTCCTAGTAGCCACATTTATACATTATTCTTGTATCATTTCTATTTTATATGAAAAGAATTATGTTGACATCTCTTCATAATTTAACTAATTCTCTTTTTTTGTTCCAGTTGTATGGGTTTAGGGAAAGGAATAGGGAGACTAAGCATCCCGTACCCTTCATCTGACTGTAAACAGTCTCCTGGGATTTTTTTCTAATTTAATTTTAATCCTATACTTCTTTAATAGTCAAACTGAAATAGGATTGTAATTTTCT